CATATATGATAAAACATGATGTAAAGGTTACATTAGGAAGGTAATATAGTAATGCTAAGGAATACATTTTGAGTATTTAAATGTGGTGTTATTTATAGCCCATTTACATTACAGATTTATGCATTACAAGTGAGAAAAATATAGGGGTTGAATTTTTAATTAGTAATTTAGGGATAGCTCATAGTTCTCTCCAGATGGCTGGGTAATAATTTCTCTCTTTTTGTCCTTCTAAAACCCAGAATCCCAGTAAGGAATGTGAACCTTATCGAAGAAATGAAGACAAACCAATTGCTCCTTGTGGAGCTATTGCCAACAGCATGTTTAATGGTATGATATAGATACAAACATAGACAGAGATATAGACATATATAATTAGGACAATTTGTATAATTTTATTACAGATTTGATAGTTTAGTAAACATAAATGAAATTGAGAAATTCAACAACTTTAAGATAAATAGATCAGTTAGGTATTGAATGGGGTAATATAATGCTTTGTGACTTTCTTTTAAGCAAACATATTTAAGAATGGATTTTTGTCTCTGAGAAGAAAGGAGCAGAAACATTTTGATAGTCTTCCTATTTCATATAAGATAAAATGAAAGCCAGGCTGTCTTTTCTCTGACTTTATTTATACCATTGAAAAGGAGCTATAGTTGATCATTTAGAGCCGCACGGTCTGATAGAAATTAATGTAAACCATAAATGTGAGCCATGTGGGTAATTTTAAATTTTCTAGTAGTCATATTAAAAACCATTTAAAGAAACAAGTGAAATTATTTTAGTAATATATTTTATTTAACTCAATATGTTCAAGATATTATTTCAGGCCACGTACGGTGGCTCATGTCTAGATAATTCTAGCACCCTGGGAGGCTGAGGCAGGAGGATCACTCAAGCCCAGGAGTTTGATGTTGCAGTGAGCTATAATGATGCGTCTGCATTCTACTTGAGGCAATCAAGTGAGACTCTGTTTCAAAAAAAAAAAAAAAAATCATTTCAGCATATAATAATATATAAAAGTTATTGAGATATTTTATATTTTTTTGTACTTAGTTTTTGATATCTGATGTATATCATATACTTATAAAACATATTCTATTTGAACCAACCATATTTCAAGGGCTTAGTGGTCATGTGTGCCTAGCGGCCACCATTATTAGTGCAAATAAATGGATAAGTTAGAAGTTATTAGGAATACATTATTGGAAGAGAGAAGAGGCAGGTTTACCTTGCAGTTATATTTGGGTTAATATTAAAACATTTGATCTTATCACATATCAGTTAGCCATATATAGAAGTGAATTACAACTCTACTGAGGCAAGAGACGTCCATCTGAAATTACAAAGTTGCCACGATTAATCTACATATGAATAAAGAACAAATGTGTATTATAGGCCTACTCTGTCAAAACTACTTTTAAGAGCAAATACCAAATCCTTATTTCTCATAGAGTTAAGAAGCTATGTGTTTTCAATAGACATTTAGTAAGATCTTTCTTTTCTTGTGTTTAGATACATTAGAATTGTTTCTTATTGGCAATGATTCTTATCCTACACCTATTACTTTGAAAAAGAAAGGTATTGCTTGGTGGACAGATAAAAATATAAAATTCAGAAATCCCTCTGGAGCAGAAAGCCTGGAAGAACGATTTAAAGGTAAAACATTACTAATATCCTTTAAAAACATACACTAGGGGTTTTAATGAAATATATTAAATTTTTTTTAGAATCTTAAAAAAGTTTATGCTTTTTAAAACAACAACAAATGTGTTTTCCTCAGCTTCATACCAAGTTAGGTAAATGTTCTAATATACAAAAATTCTAAAGAAAATGCATACTTTTAATAATGAATACAATTTTTCTGATGTTTTCTTATAAGCATTTCAGCTGTAATCTTTTGAAACTGCAGCAAGAGTTCCTTTGGAACAATCCCCTATTATTTATTATCTAAATTTATTTTTGTTTCTATGCTGCCTTAATTTCACAGTGTAATATTTCTTAACATTGTATCTTTGCATTAAATAATCTACCTTTTGATATATACTCAGTATCCTACTTTTTTAGTATTCTTTAATTGAGATATTAACCAAGTCTTTGTAATTTTTTGTTAAGTTGTTCCATGAGGAAATGGTTTTCTCTAGATTTTTAGGCTTCTTAGAATATGAATATATTTATACCTTTGAAAAATAAGAAAAATACTCAGATTATGTTTTGTACATCTTTGTTTTAGTAGAGTGTGAATATTCAGTGAAACTTCATTGAATATTTTGTCTCATCCTGTCCCTGCTCCTTTTTAAGGTACAACAAAGCCAGTGAACTGGCTTAACCCAGTATACATGCTGGATTCTGACCCAGATAACAATGGCTTCGTAAATGAGGATTTTATTGTTTGGATGCGTACTGCAGCATTACCTACTTTTCGTAAGTTATATCGTCTTATAGAGAGGAAAAGTGATTTACATCCAACATTACCAGCTGGACGCTACTATTTGAATATCACATACAGTATCCTTTTCTGGCTATGTTTATATTCATAGAGCTTGAAAGGAGTTTAGTCCAACCTTATGTCAGTTATGTGGCATGTTACTTTGTCCTTTAGTTTTGATCTCTGCATTTTTACAAGAGTACGTGTGTATGTATGAGAATGTATCTTTTAATTTATATCTTCTAGACATGTCTTAAATTGTATATACTTTGTACTAAGATTTCAGGCATATCATTTGGTGAAATTACTTAAAATGTAATTGCTTGGTTTATAAATAAGCTATATATTTTTACAAGGAAGATTGCAATTGAGCTTAATGCAAAGGCCAGTGGCAGACTGAAAGTGATCAAGTTTTTGAAAGTAGCCTCACGTAGGAGCAATTTTGAACAGACAGACTCAGTTCAGGTATTGATAGAAAGAACATTATCCTGAGGGGATAGCCAAAATAGACGGCAGCTCTGTTGCAATTAGCATCCAAAAGGATCTGGTAAAGAGTAAGGGCTAATATCAGCTTGTAGCCTAGAGCACAGTAGAGGGAATTCTATTATAAAACACTTATAAAAGCACCCGGAATTCTTAGTTGACAATTTGCATTCAGGAAGTCTACAGCAGGGCCCCAGCACTGAAAAAAGAACTGTCAGGAGGAATGCAGGGTATCTCGCAATCTCACAGATCGAGAAGACAGGAATTTGGACCTGCAAAACATCGAAGGTTAAATCATCAAAATTGGATATAAGGTATGAACTAAATATTAGAATTAAGGCAGAAGCGCATTTTTTTTAGGATTGGGATACCTAGAGAGACACTAGCATGGGTGATTTGATACTGCATCCCCCAGAATGTTGGGTTAGTTAGAACTCTTAAAAAAATCATTCCTGCCTCAGGTTAGAGTTGATTTAAGATGTTAGCAGAACTTAACCTGCTGTTTGGAGTCATAGGGCCCCATCTTTGGGGATGGATTGTTGCCGAAGCTAGAGAAACAGCTGGAGCTTAACCCTTGACTCAAAAGATGCTTTTGAAAAATTTATAAACTTTTTGCATAGGGACTTAGTTCTATCTTCTCTACCCTACCTCCTGCCAAAATCCTAGAACTGGTCCACATAGGTAATTCATCCGATACACTGGCATCCTGTTTCTTAAATATCCTTAACAGTCCACCCTTCACTTCCATTCCATGTTAGCTGTCTCACAGCACGAGTGTTGTCATTACTCCAAATCAGCAAGTTGAAACATTAGTGTCATGCTTTTTGACCTTGTACTCAGAGCCCTCTCATAGTCTCATAACTACACTTTTGCTACACATGCTCTTTGAGCTCACAGAGACTTCCAGTCCCTGATTCTTCCATTTTCTCCTGGTCTGTCAACCTCCTCTTCCTGTGTGGGCTTCATTGCTATTCATTTGAAGTATTTTTCACATTACTTTCCTTTGAGGCCTCCTGTGTAATGAGAGCCAAAGCACCTGAGAAATGATATAACCCTTAAATTTGGTTGTTTTGTAAAATATTTTGGCTTTTACTACTAACATTTAATTTGCTAACTCAGTCTTTCATAGTAATATCATTTTATTTGTGATTTAGAATGTATGAGTAAGGTACCTGTGTATCACAGAATTATACAAATGAATTATAAGCAATTAAATGTCAACTTTTTGAATTGTATTTTAAACATCAACTAACCACAGATGGAAAAGTCTTCCTATACCCTCTTCAGATTACCCTGTACATTCTTTTGATGGACGAAAACGGATGATCTTGAGCACTATCTCATGGATGGGAGGAAAAAATCCATTTTTGGGGATTGCTTACATCGCTATTGGATCCATCTCTTTCCTTCTGGGAGTTGTACTGCTAGTAATTAATCATAAATATAGAAACAGTAGTAATACTGCTGACATTACCATTTAATTTTGTATTCTGAAAACAAATCTACTGCATGTGCATCAAGGCCAGTCCTATTCAACTAGCTTTCGAATGCTGACATCTGGTTAGTATGTGATTTTGAAGTTGGCACATACTTGTTTTTAAAAACAGTCTTTGTCCTTTGCTTCTTCCCTATGGATGACTTATGAAAATATATGACGGGTATAAAAAAATTAGCTGCATTGATTATATCAACACTATAACTGCTGAAATGGCATTCTAATGTTTGCTTTTTATTGGGACAGGCCATATGATGCATAGAGCCTCTTTCATGTGAATGCGTCTACTGCTTCAATGTTTATGCTGTATCGATGCTATTATATTGACATATAATGCTGTATATGTGTGCCTGTTGTGTGAAGAAAGGGATTACAAGATGTATGAGTATAATGACTTGCTAACCTTTCAGGATTCAGAGTTACAGAAAGATGAAGAATGACCGAATCTAAGTAAAACACTTCATCATTTTCATGTTGTTGTGTGTGAAGGCTTAAAGTACCATCTTTGTTGAGGTGGTTCATGCATTCAGTTTATCCAGTACAGTTCTTTGTCAAGCTTAGCTTTGATTTCAAAGAACATGTTACCTTTGTGTCTGGCATAGGAATTAATAATGCTCATGTCTGAAGAGGTCAGGTAAATCCCAGGTTGGAGAATTTAAAAATTCCTCTTTCCATTTATTCAAATGTTACAGTCAGGAACCCCAACTTACTTGGAATGTTCTTACTGGAATATGATCACTTCCCTTGACGCTTACATTTCATAAGGGAAGAAAATACAAGTGAGGTGGAAAAACTGCTTGGTAGACCTTCATCTTCTGCCTCGATTAGAAATCAGATGTAATTGCTCAAAGGAGACTATTTTCATTCTTGTGGTATTTAACATTCAGAAAATTACTTCAGCATTGAAAAAAATCTCAAACTGTTTTTATTTTACAGGTAAGTGTTTTGACTTAAGTACTAATATTATATTCCAGAAAATTTTGAAAGTAGTAACCTAATTTCCTCTGTATTTTATTCAATTTTTACATAGGTCAATTATAGATATGTATGCACATTCTCTTTAGTTAAGGTACCAATTTTTTTGGTTGGTTTTCCTGAGACATACTTTAGAAAGATGTTCTATACCTAATTAAATTCTAGAGATTTTGGAATATGTACATGATAAATTATAATATATATGGTTGAAGTAATTTTATTTTTTACTAACTGGAATTATTTTAATATTCCTTATTGAATACTGTAATTTGTTTGCTATGGAACTTAAAATGAATGTAAACTTATTTTTCCACATGCATGCATGAAAATGTGTGTATTTAATCAGAGGTGGCTTAATTGCATTGAAATTGCTTTTTTTTTTTTTTTTTTGCTAAAGTAACTCATGTTTGTGTAGAAGAATGCCTGTTTATTCAAAGTTTGTAATGATTTTTTTGAGTTCTATTTTAAATCAGAAGGTCTGGGTAATGTATCAATTTTGATTAATATATGTTTTTTTGTAAAGAAACAAACAACAATGTAATAGTTAGTAGTAGAAATGTGCCACACTTCTTAAGTTTTGTGTAACATGAAATTCAGTTAAAAGAACTTGTAATTCATAATGACTTTTAACTGGTAAAAATATTACTTGCATGAAGTACTTGATGTATGGTTATCCTGAAATTTGAGTACATAGGGCATATTCTTTGCCTAAAAATATTCTTTGTTTTGTCAGGCCTTCAGAATGTTATTTATTCTGAAATTGTCACTCTTGTACATGGCAGTTTATTTTCCGGGGTACATCATTGGGGAGGAGGAATTTCTTCCAGTCTTCCCAGACTGAGTTTGTGCTGTTTAAGGAGGACTACCATCCTGCATCTCTTTTTCTAACTGGGGGACTGAGGGTGTTGCTAAAGAAAAGTCGAAGAGCGCTTCTAACACTTTCTCATGGAGAAGATGGATTTTAAAATTTATTTGGAGTCTTTTCTATTTTACAAGTACACTGATGGCCTAAGTTCCCCCCTATCTTCTGCCATTTGAGCTCTAAGGGATTCCTGTTGCAAAATATGAAGAATATGGAACATTCATATCGCCCCTGTGAAGCATGGGAGAAGGGAAAACATTTCTTTTTCTTTCTTAAAAGCTTTATGTTCATCCTTTGGAAACATTGATGTCATACTCAACTTCTAAAGAATCATATTGCATTTTAAGGCAGCTACGTTAAGTAGAAGGCATTGAAGAATGTATTAATATTTAGGACATATTTTGCCATATGAAAAGCTTTCCGATAGAAGAAATTATACAGTAAGTAAAAGCTAAGAAATGTCATTGAAATCATGAGGCAGTTTGAGAATAAATCAGTAAAAATAACTGTGTACTACCTAATAGAGAATCATTCAACCAAGAAAAGAATCAAGTGAATATTATTTGGAATATTATTTGTTTATTGGTTAGTGACAGAGTCTGTAACCTTGATGATATTAAAAGATAACATTCTGTTAGTATGTTCTCTATTAATAAAAATGAATAAAATTAATTTCACTATGTTTAAGTATCTTGATAAAATAATAACGCCTAGTGTTGTTGCTAATGTTTAGCACTGAATTTTAACCCAGGGTCAATGAGTCCAGGTTTAACTTCTCCATGCCTAGATTTGATAAAATGTCATTCATTGTTAAATTAATCACCATATTTGTATTTATTAATCACTCTGACAACATTAACCATCTGTTCTTACCAGGAAGCGGTCAGATTGCCACCTGAGTTACAGACAGACTGGCTAAATTTGGTATTAGATCAAGGGGCATGTCTAATAAATAGAGAGGCAAGGATAATGAAAATGGTGAAGTGGGGCACACGAGAAATGAAAAGCCTGACTGGGGAGGAGCAGTGGAAAGGCTGGGTTAATGAGTGCTGTTCAGCCTGCTACCTCCTGTCTTTGTGGAAACATTGCCTTAGAATTATTGTATAATACATCTTTGTTGGTTAAGCTGTAAAGTTTTGTTCTTTGTGGACATGGCTGGGGAGGGTAGAAGAAGTATGGAAGTATTGCCATTACAAGAACAATTTTGATGCTTAAGTGTCTGTTGTAGAGTTTGGATGATCTGGTGAAGTGTTTCGGAACGCCTTTCTAGCCCATACGCCATTCGGTAAACATGAAAATCACTTTTCTCCTAATGTCATTTGAAATTTCAAAATAAATATCTTCTCTAAAATCAGACCATGGTGGCCTTATTTGCTTTCAATATATCTATAAAATGTATCAAAGTAACTGTGTACAGAGTTTAAAAAATCAGACAGTAAGTTCTAAGTGCTTTATGATGAGAAGCAGTAGTCCCCGCCTTAACTTTCCTTACCTCTGAGACACAATCGCCGCGCCTCCAAAAGTTGTTTCTTCTGTAATTTATCTCAGTATGTATCTAAATAATATACCTATTCTATTATTGCTTGATACAGTTTTAGACATTATTTTCTTGGTAGTGTTAC